CAGGGAGGGACGTGCTCAGGGCTCTGCTGCACACAAGGTGCCTGCCCCATCCCTGGCACTGTTCAAGGATGGGGCTTGGAGCAAGCTGCTCCAGTGGAAGGTATCCCTGCCAATGGCAGGGGGTTGGAACTGGAGGAGCTTTAAGGTCCTTTCCAACTCAAAGCATCCCATGACACCAGGCGGTTCCAGCTCAGCGAGCGGTGTGAGCAGCCACCACCCTTGTAGAGCAGGGCTCTGCTGCCTGACTCACTGCAGCTCTTGCAGCACCCTCCTCCCTTTCTGGGGGAGAAGGGAGCGGTGCGGATACTCCTTGTTCTCCTGGGGCACTGAAACCTCCTTGCCCTGGAAAACAAACCACTCCTTGCTTTGCAGATGGAAATCCTCCTGGATCAACCTTCAGCCTCAGCACAAAGCGGGGCTCCCCTCTGCTGGGACAGCACCCGGTTATCAGCACTACATTAAACCCATCAGCTCTCCCAAGAAGCTGCTGCCTGGTCATGTAGGGGGGTGTTTGGGCACGGCAGCAGCTCCTGGATGGAGCCCCATATCCATTCCTTCAGCCTGGCATCGCTTCCCAGCGCCTGGATGAGGAGCAAAGGCACAGCTCGGGCTGCAGGGATGGAGTTTAAGGCTGAGCTTTGAGCTGGAGGGGCCTCAGCCCTGTCCAAGGAGGGGGGAACTGGGAAAAAAGCCTGGAAGAAACAACCCAGACATGAGGGAGCTGCGGGAGCACGCGGCTCATCCCAACCGGAGAGGAAATCCTGCAGAGCCCAGCGCCTGCTTACCCTCATGTGCGTCAGGCTGGGGCTCAGCCTTTGTCTCGTCACCCAGTAGCCAACAGCAGATCAGCCAAAAACCTCATTTCCCTCTAAAAGCCAGTTCCCCCCCCCTCATCTCCCGGTGGTTCCTATCCCAGATTGTCCCTCCGGCAGGAATGTGCAGCCCGCAGCCGCCTCCTCCCCTCTAGACTAAACAAGACGGGTTTTCCTGGTTCCTCCCATGCTCAACTCCAGACCTACAACTGCTGGGCCAAGATCCCCCCCATCCCGTGTTGGGGGCACCCGCGATGCAAAGGGGGGACATTCCCAAGGGAAGAGAGGGGAAATTCCTGAAGGCTAAAAGGGAACTGGGCCCCACTGAGCCCCTATGGCTTTGGTTGCAGCAACATCCCTGCGGTGTCCAAAGGTGTCCAAAGGGAAAGGGAAGGTGCCCATACCCAGGGGACGTGTGGGCACCTCCACCTTGGGTAAGCAGCTCCCTGGATCCATATTTACCTTTAGGGATCCCCACCCAGGCTGGGTGCTACGTGTGGGATGGAGCCAACACCTCCCAGGTTATGGGTGCCACTGTCCTGGAGCTGGGCTAGAGCAGGGTGAATCCCTCTTCCAAACACAGTGCTAAAGGCCCAAAAGTGGGATTGGGGTCCCTTTGCTTGGCCTGGAAAACCCTGGTGTTAGGAGCTGCCCAGTTCTGGCAATGGGTGCAGGGCATGGGGAGGTGATGGGTGCTGGCAATGGGTGCTGGTCACAGGGAGGTGATGGGTGCTGGCAATGGGTGCTGGCAATGGGTGCTGGTCACAGGGAGGTGATGGGTGCTGGCAATGGGTGCTGGTCACAGGGAGGTGATGGGTGCTGGCAATGGGTGCTGGGCATGGGGAGGTGATGGGTGCAGGCAATGGGTGCTGGGCACGGGGAGGTGATGGGTGCTGGCAATGGGTGCTGGGCACGGGGAGGTGATGGGTGCTGGCAATGGGTGCTGGTCACAGGGAGGTGATGGGTGCTGGCAATGGGTGCAGGTCACAGGGAGGTGATGGGTGCTGGCAATGGGTGCTGGTCATGGGGAGGTGATGGGTGCTGGCAATGGGTATTGATCACAGCGGGGTGATGGGTGCTGGCAATGGGTGCTGGTCATAGGGAGGTGATGGGTGCTGGCAATGGGTGCTGGTCATGGGGAGGTGACGGGTGCTGGCAATGGGTGCTGGCAATGGTGAATCAGATCTCCCAGCATCTTCCATCTTCACTCAGCACCAAGGAGCACCCAGCACAGCTCAACCCCTTCACCCCTCCCCAGGTGATCCCAGGTCTCCCATCCAACACCCCCAGTTCACCCCCAGCTTTGGAAACCTCCATTAAAACCACATCTAAAGCACCCCCCAAGCCACTGGATCCCAAACTTTGCACCCTGCTATTCCCTGGAGACCCCCACAGCCGCCATGGGACCATTCCCAAGCTCAGCCTCTCCAACATCCCATTTTCCACATTAATCCTTAATGCATTCACGCCGTGGTTCCTCCCCATCCCCAGCACATCTGGGCCCCACGGAGGATCCTGATTTCCCACTTTCCCTCTCCGCCTCCAACTTTCCCTTTTTCCATGTATTCATCCACCGCCCCCCTCCTCCTTTGTCTGCAAATGCAAACCCAGACGTCGCCGCGCACATCTGCACACATCTGGGCTCGCCTCGAGGCGGGATCATCCAACTGGATGCATTAACCCACATGGGTTATGGGGGGGTTTGTAGGCATTACCTGGATCAGGCTGCTCAGAGCCAGAATGGAGCGATCCCACCTGGAAAACACCACGTGAGGATTCATCGTTGGCTGCTTGCACCCTCCTTTGGCAAAGCATCACCCATCCACCTGGAAGCATCCCGGGAATACGGGATGCCGAAGGAGCCGTCAGTGGTGGCTGCGTGCTCCTGCCTCCCGCTATGGTGGCCTCACTGCATTCCAGTCCCATCCCAGGACCCATCTCGGGTGTCACCAATAGGACTGGGCCAAAACATGGGATTGTATGGGATAATTGGAAGTTTGATTGGGTTCATTATCCCGCTATGGTAATGAGGGTGTTGTTAAGCACAGACACAATTAAGGACCGGCTTGAGATTCTCCCAAAGTCAACATAGGAGGCAATGGGTGCTGGTGATGGGGAGGTGATGGGTGCTGTTCATGGGGACATGGTGGGTGCTGAGGACATGGAGTTGGTGGGTGCTGGTGATAGGGAGGTGATGGATGGAGAGGTAATGGAGGGATAATGAGTGCTTGTGATGAGAAGGTGGTGTGGAGGTGATGGGTGCTGGTCATGGGCAGATGATGGGGAGGTGACTGGGCTGGCAATGGGTGGTGGTTATGGGGAGGTGATGGAGGGGTAATGGGTGCTGGTAAAGAGGAGGTGATGGGTGCTGGCAATGGAGAGGCAATGGGAAAGCAGATCTCCCAGCACCTTCCAGCTTCACTCAGCACCAGGGACACCCAGCACAGCTCAACCCCTTCACCCTTACCAAGTGACCCCAGGTCCCCGCACCCAGCTCCCTCTTCTTTAGAGCTCAAACAACCCCCTATAGCTTGAACCAACCCCCATAGCTTTGAGAACCCCCCATTACCCATTGGTGTTCCCTTCTCCCAGCTGGCTCCCAGCCAGTCCCCTCCTGCTGGCTCCCTGCTCCTCTCCCCATGGCTCTTTCCCAGCATTTCTGATCCCATCTCCCTAAAGCTGGAGCAGAACGTGGGCAATGAGACAGACAACGTGGGAGCAGCTCCTTGCACAAGAGGAAGTGCCAGGACCTCCCATCCCTGCGGGGCTCTGCTTCTCACCAGACTGGTTCCAGCACAGCTCAGCCAATTCCTGCTGGGAACCGCGGTGTTCTCCAGGTGAGGTTCTCCTCAACCGCTCCCAGACCTCATCCCACCTGGAGGCCCCGTTTCCCACGTGTTCCTCAGTTATCCCATGGTTGGGTTCTGTTTTGGGATCTTCTCTCTGCATCCCATAGGGCTGATTCCTCACTGGGTTAAACCGGGGGAAATTGGTGCTGGTTTGGTGTAGCTGGGGAGGGCAAGCTGTCTTCTGCTGTGGAGATGGGTCATCTGGTCCATGAGATCATTGGTGTGGCTGGTGAAGGTCACTTGACTGTTATGGGGACATAGGAAAGAGGGATGGATGGAAGGATGGATGGATGGATGGATGGATGGATGGATGGAGGAATGGTGAGTGACATGGTCTCATGGGTTAGTGTGAGGAGTCTCAGCCCATCACAGGGGTTTGGAACTGGATGACCTTAAGTTCCTTTCCAACCCAAACCATTCTGTGATCCTATGATTCTACGAATGGATGGAGAGACAGGTAGATTAATGGTAATGTAAATGGATGGATGGAAGGACAGAGGCATGGACAGATGGTTGGAGGGATGGATGGATGCTTGACTGGAGAGAGAGAGAATGAGAGATGGATGACAATGTGGTTGGGTGTATGGATGCACATATGGATGGATGGATGGACACATATATGGATGCATATATGGATGGATGAATAGATGGGTGGATGGATGGATGGATGGATGGATGGATGGATGGATGGATGGATGGGTGGATGGATGGATGGATGGATGGATGATGGATGAATGATGGATGGATGATGGATGGATGGATGGATGGAAAGACTGATGGATGGATGGATGGATGGATGGATGGATGGATGGATGGATGGATGGATGATGGATGGTGGATGGATGGATGGATGGATGGAGGGATGGATGGATGGATGGAGAGGATGGATGGATGGATGGATGGATGGATGGATGGATGGATGGATGGATGGATGGATGGATGATGGATGGACAGATGCACAGATGGATAGAAGGACAGATGGATGGATGGATGGGTGGATGGATGGATGGATGGATGGATGGATGGATGGATGGAAGGATGGATGGATGGATGGATGGATGGATGGATGATGGATGAACGAATGGGTGGAGGTACAGTCGGATAGAAAACCAACCCTCATCATCCGTCCCTGCCCCCTCCTTGCTGTAAGAGATGAGTAAAGCAAACCCCGCACATTACAATGGGGTGAGCCTCCCTCAGCCCCAGGGTTAACCCCTGCCTACCCGGGGCAGGACCCACGCCTCCGCTCCGGCACCACCTCTTGCACCACCACATCGGCTGCCCCGGGGGGGCCTCCAGAGCCAGGGGAGGCGTCGGGGCTGACTCAGGTCTCCATCAGCACCGAGCAGCCCGGCTCTGCCTGGACCTGCACAAGGGAAACCTCCCTCGGCAGCACTGACAACGCTGCCAGCATCACTGCAGTGGCCCTGGGGATGGGGACCCCTCTTAAACCCCCCCCCGTGCAGCGCTGGAGGCCTCCAAACCCAGCCAAAACTGCCTTAAAATAGCCCCAAACAGCGTGTACCCCCCTTCCTTCACCATCACCCCGCCTCTCCCCGAAACCACAGGCAAGCCACAGCACGAATCCCTTCATTAGGAACCTCGTTAGGAGCCAGCCCTATGGGATGCCACCCATGGATCAAGCAGGACAGCAGCCGGCATGGCCCAAAGGTGGTCCAGCACCCCAAAGCTGCTCTCCATGGGGGTCCAGCTGACCCATTCCCAGCGATCCCATAGCTTGGCCTCTCCCACACGCTCCACTCCTGCCTCCTCCTCCTCATCCGGGGAGCGGCTGCTCGGAGGGAGGAGGCTCCAGGCGTGCCGGGACAGCACCGGGAGCAGGGAACGCCATGGCGGAGCGGCTGTCGGAGGAGCAGATCGCCGAGTTCAAGGAAGCTTTCTCCCTCTTTGACCGGGATGGGGACGGCTGCATCACCACCAAGGAGCTGGGCACCGTCATGCGGTCCCTGGGGCAGAACCCCACGGAGGCCGAGCTGCAGGACATGGTGGGAGAGGTGGACGCCGACGGCAGCGGCACCATCGACTTCCCCGAGTTCCTGTCGCTGATGGCGAGGAAGATGCGGGACACGGACAGCGAGGAGGAGATCCGGGAGGCTTTCCGGGTCTTCGATAAGGATGGCAACGGGTACATCAGCGCGGCGGAGCTGCGGCACGTCATGACCAACCTGGGCGAGAAGCTGACGGACGAGGAGGTGGATGAGATGATCAAGGAGGCCGACTGCAACAACGACGGGCAGGTCAACTACGAGGAGTTCGTGAGGATGATGACGGAGAAGTGAGATCCCATTGCCAGCAACAACCTCCAGCCCCATCGCACAGGTAACGCGCTGGGATGCTGCTCCCTGCCCAACCCGGTGTCCATGGGTAAACCAAGGGGTCCATCCCATCTATAGCGATGTCTTGCATCTCCCCCATCCTGACCACCTCCTCCCCTGCAACTCGTGCTGGTGGTTGGGAAAATCCATGTTTATGGGGCTTTTCCTCATGTTTTGCTTCGTTTTCTCATAGGGAACAGAGGCTTTGGTGGTCTCCCGACCTTTCCATCCCCTACTGCCTTCACTCCACCATCCAGGGCTGGAAACCCTCTTTCATCACCAGCCTGTGCCTGCATTGGACGCAGGCATCCCGCCTGGCAGGATGGGGCTTGGGGTGCAGATGGACACAGGGGGCTCCCCATGGGATGCACCTCTTGTGTCTATAGAGGCTCTGGTGGACACCACACCGAGTCCAATAAAGAAATGTCCCCCCATACCCCGGTGGCTGCCAGTGCTTCATTCAGCTTCAGTTTGGGGTCCCAGCTGAAGAGAACCCCCCAAATCACTGACTCACTGCATCCAGGCCCCACATCCTCTCCCCTCCCCTCATCCTTTTCATCTCACAAGCAGAAAAGTTGCTCCTAACGGGTGCTTCTTGCAGCCCCCACGTTACGACCATCCCCACCCCAAGTCCCACCACTTTTGGGGTCTTCTCTCTGCACCCTCGTGGTGTCGGGGCCCTGTTCTCTCCCTCCATTCCCCATGCTAAGAGGAGAGTTTGCAGCTGGATTTAGCCCTAATCCCCACCCCAAAGAACGGGATCAGGTGTCCTGGCTGTAACCACCCCGTGACTCAGTTTCCCTATGAAGAGAGAGAAACCCCATTGCAGCAGCAACCCCCAGGACCAGGCATGGAGGCTTTGAATGAAGACCAATTGTAATGGCCCTTACTGGTGCTCAGTCACTGATAGAGAGGTGGTACCAGGACACATAAGCAGGACATGGCTCCGGGATGTCCGAGCCACCACAAGGCTTCACCCCTCTGCTTCCATCCCATCCCTTGGGATCTTTGGCAATCCCAGTTGTTTTCCCAGTGCTGGGGAAGATGGGCAGGTGCCTGCATGCACAGCTCCACCCCAGCACATAGCACAGAGCCTTCACCCATAGCACAGCACCTTCACCCATAGCACAGCACCTTCACCCATAGCACAGCACCTTCACCTACAGCACAGCACCTTCACCTACAGCACAGCACCTTCACCCATAGCACAGCACCTTCACCTACAGCACAGCACCTTCACCTACAGCACAGCACCTTCACCCATAGCACAGCACCTTCACCCATAGCACAGCACCTTCACCTACAGCACAGCACCTTCACCCATAGCACAGCACCTTCACCCATAGCACAGCACCTTCACCTACAGCACAGCACCTTCACCCATAGCACAGCACCTTCACCCATAGCACAGCACCTTCACCACACGTTGGCCTCTTGCTTGCACACCCATCTCCTATAGGGGACACCAATGTAGCAAAGCCCATCATAAAAAGGCCCTGAACCCAGTTAAACCAAGGCCACGGGGTCACCCCAGTTTGCTGAATCCGAGTCCCCAATACAGCATTCCCAAGGCGTGATTCTTTGTTAATGCCGCGTTTCAGCACAAACCCAAACCTGCTATTTATAGCTTTGACCTTCTCTCCTTCTATTCTGGGCTTGTTTAATTCATGGAGTGTTTCCTTCACACCTCTTGGCCTGAGCTGGTTTTGTTTCATCATGGAATCATGGAATGGGTTGGGTTGGAAGGGACGTTAAAGCTCCTCCAGTTCCAACCCCTGCCACAGGCAGGGACCCCTTCCACTGGAGCAGCTTGCTCCAAGCCCCTGTGTCCAACCTGGCCTTGAACACTGCCAGGGATGGGGCAGCCACAGCTTCTCTGGGCACCCTGTGCCAGCGCCTCAGCACCCTCACAGGGAAGAGCTTCTGCCTTATCTCCAACCTGAACTTCCCCTGTTTCAGTGTGAACCCATCACCCCTTGTCCTATCACTCCAGTCCCTGATGAAGAGCCCCTCTCCAGCATCCTTGTAGCCCCCTTCAGACACTGGAAGCTGCTCTGAGGTCTCCACGCAGCTTCTCTTCTCCAGGCTCAACAGCCCCAATGTTCTCAGCCTGTCTCCATACAGGATCTGCTCCAGCCCCTGAGCATCCTCATGGCCTCCTCTGGACTTGCTCCAACAGCTCCATGTCCTCCTTATGGACACCAGAACTGCCCAGCTCATGGGCATCACTCACAATGCAGGACCGGAGATGCTGCTGCTGAGTCAGTCCCAGTTCTCCCCATTCCCTGTTATTTCAGGAATTCTGAATTTAGGAACTTAATTTGGGAATGCTGGGACACTTCAATAGCATCTCAACAGCGGGGCTTTAAAACACATTGATTAAACACTGGGGAAACAAGACTGAGATCCCCCAGCAGGGGCCAAGGAACTTTTAGGATCCCTCCAAAAGGATATGGAAAAGGAGGGCAGGATTTGTACCCCATTTTCCCTATTTCCCCCCTCTCCTGCAGCTCTGGTTCCCTGCCTCCTCCCTGGCAATAACTGTGTCATTAAGCACACACAATGTATTGCCTGGGAAGTGTCCCCATATGCAGGAAGAGGAGGCCCATCCACACCCAGCTTCCATGGAAAAAGTGGGGAAAAGGGATTTTTGAAGTGGGATTGATGCAGGTTGGTGGCATGAAGGGTTGGGAGGTACCATACAGGAGAGTTTGGTTGGGTTGCATCAAACCAGGTTCAGCACAGGGGATAAAGAACTAAACAGAACCCCTCAAAACCCCTTTCCAACTACATCTCCCCACTCTTCAGTTTGGTGGGAGCTGTTTCCTTTCCATGGGGTGCTTTTTAACCTGTTTTAAGTGTTTTTCTCACTGATTTCCCACTTTCAGGTTATTTGTGGAAGGAGAAATCCAAAAGAAAGCAAAAAAAGACCCCAAAGAAGCCACAAATCACCCCAGAACCAGGCGCAGGCCATGGGGCTCTATGAGCCACAGTGCCTGGCCATGGCCAAGATGATGCTGAATGGAGCAGTTTGGTGCCAGCTCTAAGCATGAGGTTGCACCAGCTGGGGCATTGCTTTGGGGCAAAGAGGTTTGAGCACTGGAGCAATTGGTTTTACCCCTTTTCCTTTGGCATCAGGCCCTCTGTCCCATGCGGGACTCCGGGTACCACCATGATGAAGATGCTCAAGAGCATCCGAGGCACTGAGCTGCTTTGATGACATGAGTTTCCTTGGATTCAGCTCAGAGATGAACCAAAACCGTGTTACCCCCTTGCCAGCGCATCCAGTGATGGGGCTCTGGGGGCTGTTTTGGGCTTTCCCAATGGAAAAAGCTCTGGACCCAAAAGGCTCCATTGAATCCCACCAGGTCTGCACCAAAACTGCCTCTGCTGCCCCTGAGAGCAGAGGTGGGAAGGGGACAAAGATAGGGGACAAATGGGGCAGGGAGATTGGGATGAGTAGGAGAAGGAGAGGGGACAAAAGGTACCAGGAGACCAACAGGACCAGGAGAGAGGGAAACAAATGAGACCAGGAGTCGGGAACAAGCCTGACCAAGAGAGGGGACCAATGGGACCAGGAGATGGGAAGAAGAACCAGGAGAGGGGTGTAATGGGACCAAAAGATGGAACAAATGAGACCAGGAGATGGGGACAAATGGAGCCAGGAGCAGTGGGACAAGGGGACAAGGACAAGTGGGATCAAGAGGTGGAGATAACTTGGACGAGAAGAAGGAGCCAGTGGGACATGGGGACAAGTGGGACTGGGACACAAGGACAAGTCTTTTGGCTGGGGTTAAGTGGGAACAGGACACAACTGGAACAAGAAGAGAGGACCAGAACAACCAGGAGATGGGGATAAATGGGACCGACAGAGGGGACCAGTGGGACAAGGAGATGGATACAAGAACCAGGAAAGGGGTAAAATGTGACCAAAAGATGGAACAAATGAGATCAGGAGATGGGGACAAGTGAGACCAGAAGGGAACAGTGGGACCAGGGGACAAATGGGATGAAGGGATGGCGACAAGTTGGACCAGGAGAAGGAACCAGTGGGATGAGGGGACAAATGGGACCAGGAGACAAGGACAAGTCTTTTGGCTGGGGCTAAGTGGGAACAGGACACAACTGGACCAAGAAGAGAGGACCAGAACAACCAGGAGATGGGGATAAATGGGACCGACAGAGGGGACCAGGATGCTCTACAGATGCCAGGTGGTTTGTTAGGGCATGAGATGAGCCAAGAGCATCCCCAGGGCTGCTCCAACACCCTGTACCCCTCTCCAAGGATAGGGGGACACTTCCCCATCCTCTCCATCCCATTTCCTCAGCGTTCCCAAGGCTCAGCGCAAAGCTCAATGGGATTTGGTGGAGACGCTTGGGGCTCCTCATGGGGACACTGGGAGCCTCCAGCTGCCCCCTCATGTCACAGGGCTCCTCTCCCGAGGGCTTTCCCAAGTTCCAGTTACCAAAATAAGCCCCTGGGTCTCACCCAGAGGGAATTCTGAGTGTGAAATGCAACCGGTCACCGGGTTTCCAGTGCCGAGGGATGGGCAATGCGGCTCCAGCCGGGCTGCCTGGTGCGGGATTAAATCAGATGAGCTCTGTGCAGGCACCAGGAGGCTTTCATGGATGTCCCTCAGGAGCCAGATGGAGACCCATGGCATGGCCATAACATGACCACCATCGGGTTTGAATGCATCACCCCTTATCCCACCCCATCATCCCTGATGAAGGTCCCTCTCCAGCATCCCTGTTCTCTGCCATCAGCACCATGGGATGCGGCTGTCTCAACCCAGACCCTCGCAGGGGTTAACTGCAACCGGAGCCGCTTCATTTTCCATCCCTGCAGTGCTGGAGCCGTTGGGAATTTAATAGCTCCATGACCTCAGCCACCACGCATGCAGCCCCACAGAGCCCCATAGAACCGCTGTATCCCTTCCAGAGGAGGTTTTGGGGTCTTCCCCCTCTTTTCTGCCCCAGGGTAGGCAAGAGGATGATGCCGTAGCTCTATAAATCACTGCTGGCAATGAAAGAGGACTATTAAACCCTCCCATCCCCATCTCCATAGTGTTAGAGCCCAGCACCTTCCCCTTTTTATAGCTTAATAAAGTCCTTTTAATGTCCCATTTTGGTCCATATTACCCCCAAATCAACCCTTGCAGGAAGAGATGCCCCCAAAACTCAGCTCGCACAAAGGAGTAACTGCTTTGCAGCCCCTCCATCCCTGGTTTTTGCCCTATTTTCATCCCATCCATGGAGGCATAACCTGCCCTATGCTATGCACAAGCTGGGTTTGCAGCCTTTCCCTAAATCCCTGGTTTTCTCCTTAAATCTCACCCCGAGGGGCGATCAGAGGGAATTTTGTTACTGACAGACCTAAGGAATGGGAAAAAGCTTTTTGGGATGGGGAGAACTGAAGCCTGGAGGTGGGAATTGAGCCGCCTGGAGGCGATTTGTTATCCCTATTCCCTTTTAACCAGGATAAAGTGGGGAAACCCCCTCAATCCGGGTGAAACGGGGCCCATGGGAGCTTTGCCGCAATAAAGGAGCATCGTGGCTATGGGGGGATCCGCGTTGCTTTCGCCTCCAATCCACAAAACCCCGGCCGGGCTTGTTTTGGGAGCAGAATTCCAAAGGTTTTCCAGGGTTGGTCTCTGTGCAAACGGGGCTGGAGCAGCCGGAGCTGGATCCGCATCTCCCAGGCCGCAGGGATGATGCGCGGCTGTTACCGGGGGCAGCAGCACCGCCAAGCGGTGCCATGGGGGAGAAGAGGAGCCCCCAACCCCAACAGCACTAAAACCTCTGGGGTTTACACCTTGATTCACTCCCACAGCACAAATCGGTGCCAAATCCCCCCCCAAACCCCACGGGAACCTTTCCATCACCAAACCCGGCTCCTCTGGTCCATGAGGGCTCAGCGAACGGGTTGGTGCAGAGCATCTCTTAGGGAAGGGATTGGCTGAACCCAGTGCCTTGGCACCCAAACGCATCAGGGTATCAGTTATAGGGCACAGTGAGCTGGATCTATAGGTTTGGGTGGAAAAGGGAGTTGGTTTGGGGTTCTTCTGCGGGATACGTGAGGTTTTGTCCTCTGTGACATGCAGGGAGGAGAGCACAGCACAGGCAAACGTAAAGGTGCCACATAGAAGCAAAGGTTGCCAGAGATCCTAAGGAATCAATGGGGATTTTTAGCTCCTTTATGCTTCACTTCCTTGCAATGGATTCAGGTTCTGGTAGTTTGGGTTCAAAAAGGGGAAGTTCAGGTCTAATGGAAGGTGTCCCTGCCCATGGCAGGGGTTGGAGCTGGATGAGCTTTAAGCAGGCTGGGATTCTCCTTGCACCATCACATCACAGATACAGGTTGGGACAGGCCATTGTGGCTGCCCTGAGAGATCCCTGCTCTGGTTGTGTTGGCACTGAGTGTGTTCTGTCTCTTACGTGTGTAAGGTAGGTCTCAGGCTGGCTTTACCTTCTGGAAGCCTGACACACCTGGGTGATGAACTGGCCACGCAGGGTTGACTTCTCTCTTTGTGATGTGCTAGGAAACATGGAGATCCCAAGCTCCCAGTTCACATTATGGAGAACTGGGTGTCTTTATGGCTTTGGTGGCAGCAGAAGGAACCATGGGTCCGTAAGTTGAGGAATGGTTGGGAGTGAGATTCCCTCTGAGCCACAGGCATTAAGTGAAACTCCCCCATTGGGTTACACCCTCTGCTTTAGTTCTGTGTCAGGTTCTGGCTATTATTTCACTTCCTGAACATTAAATCACAGCAGGAATCCAACCCAAAGCAACTCAACCCCACCACCCATCCCCTTCCCATGCTCCCCATTTCAAGCCATTTCCCTGCTCCTGTGGGTTTCTTTACTACAGGTCCAGCAGCACAAGGAGTGCTCTGAAATAACCCCATTGCTTTGGGAAGCCCATGTGGGGACAGGGCTTTGCTTTCATCCGTGAGCATCACCTCCAGGACACGCAGCCTTGCTCCTGGTTGCTGCTGGCCAGGCTGCTTGAAGGTCGGTGATGAGTGAGCAGCTTGGGCTCTGCTCCAGCTTTGTGAAGCTTGGCCAGCAACAACAAGGTGTGCCTGGAGCTGATGCCTTGGGAGGAAGCCTCGTGGTGCTCAAGGATTAACTCCTTGTGATGCCAGCAGCCTGGATGAGGTGGAAAGGAGCCACCCTTCCCCTCCATGCATAGGAAGGAAGGGTTTGTGCCCTTGGTTGCAGCTCAAAGATGAAGGGGTCGCTGTGGTTATGTTTTAGCATCTTCAAGAGGCTTTGTACAAGAGGGCAAAGCCCAAGGGCTGCCCCAACCTTAGCAAAGCAGCAGACAAAGACCTCAGTGTCCTCTGGAAGGTGAGTAATGAGTGGTTGCATCATGTTTAGAGCAAGTGTGAGCATGAAAGATCTGTTCGACCTCTTGATTTAAAGCACAAGAACCACGCTGCAGACATTGGGCATCCACATCAGTATTCACATCCCCTGTTCATCGTTTCCTTCAGGGGAACAACCAACCTTGCAGCTAAATCTTTAGTGCCATGGGTTAGTGGTGGCCTTGGCAGTGCTGGGGAGCTTAAAGGCACTGGATGAGCTTAAAGGCCTTTTCCAGCCCAATTGATTCCATGATTCTATGCAGGCAGTTGCCATAGAATTGTGGGTGTCCCGCATAGGAGCCTGTGTAAACCAAGATGAGGAGTCTCTGATGGCTTGAGTCCAGCTCAGAGAGTGATGAACATTCTGTTCCTTGGGTTGAAATCAGCGGTTTATGGCCAAAGTTGTTACAGAATCAGAATCCCAGCCTGGTTTGGGTGGGAAGGGACCTTAAAGCTCATCCAGCTCCAACCCCTGCCATGGGCAGGGACCCCTTCCACTGGAGCAGCTTGCTCCAAGCCCCTGTGTCCAACCTGGCCTTGAACACTGCCAGGGATGGGGCAGCCACAGCTTCTCTGGGCACCCTCACCGAGATGTCCTCACTTCTGCCTAAGAGCTCCTTGTTCATCCCTGCAGGCCTCCTGGTGTTTCTGCCTGACTCCCTCCTTGTCAGGATGCTCCTGAGCTTGGAAGAGGAGATCCTTGGGTGTTATCCAGCTTTCTTGGGCCCCTCTTCCCTCCAGGACAACAAGTGGATGTCTGAAGCAAGCAGCTCCTGAATGACTCTGGTTATTGCCACCAAGTCAAAGATGCTCAGCTCCCTCCATCAGTCCCTCCTGGCTGCAGGCACTGATGAGCAGGGCCTCTTTAAAAGAGATTGAAGTTAAAAGAATCAAACTTTAGCACCTATTAGGAGACTGACAAGAGAGGAAAGATGTCATAAATAGGAACTTGTCATTTTATTCTTGGTTGGTTGAGGAATCTTCTTCTTTTACATTGGAACTTGGACTCGATCATTTCATCTCACCAGCCTTGTGTTAAAAAGCAAACTAGCAGGGATCTGGATTTGAACCAAAAGGGATGGTTTTCACCCCACATTGCAACAAGATGCACTTTCCTAATACACATTTATCCAACAGGACATGTGTGTTGGGCAGGGGGAGCTTTCCTGGGAAGATGCAACACAAAACCTTTATCCCATCAATCACAGGGATGAATCCCACAACCAACACCTCTTGGGCTTCTCTGAGCTTCTTGGCAACTTCACATTGAAACACAGTAATCACAGTTATCCACAGACAATTCCCTAAAGAGCAGGATCTTGAGCTTTATTCTCTAGGACACAGCACAGCAGAACGCAAAGCAACACCACAGGAGGGCTGTGGGGACTGAACCTAACCAAACACCAACACACACACAGTGATTTGCTGGTCACCATTAAAGTGCATTCAGCTCCACCTCAGCTCTTTGACCCTGTGCTGAGGCTGTTTGCCCCTCTCCCAAGGCTGAGCCCCATGCTGGTGGCTGGGGGAGCACGAGATGTTGCAGGCAGGAGGCAAACTGCTCTCATTAGTTCACAGCATGAAGGATGTTGGGAGCCCTGAGTTAGCTCCATGCCACGTTAGACAGGGGATTTCATAGCATTTGCTGTCATTCAGAGCAGGGATTTGTTCTCATCACAGTGTTAAGATTCGTTATGGGGGCATCAGGGAGCTCCATCCCCTTAGTAAGACGTACCCTGTGGGTTTCTGCCTTCAGACAACACGTAATGTCTGCAAGGCAGGTGATGATTTGGGCTCTGCTCATACAAATGTCACCCTGAGGGTTTAAATCACCAAAGGACAGAGCTGCTGCTGTGCCTGCTGAAGCCAAAGGGCTCAAGCACAACACACAGCAGCACATGGCGCAGGGCTGGCTCCTGCTGCCAACCCTTGGAGAGGCTCCAGCACTGAGACAGGTATTCAGAGAGAGGGGAAATGGGAGTGAGAATCTCAAAACCCAAAGGTAGAGCCCTCCCATTGCCTTGTACTTGTGGGTATACACCACTGCTGCACAGCAGCTCTGCCCCTTATTGCCCACAAACCCAACAGAGCAGCCACAGTGGCTCAGAGCAAGGGGAGCAATATAGGTTGGGACCAGCCATCTGGAGGGCAGCGTGTTTGGACGTGCAGAGAGACCTGCTTTCTGCCCTGCCTTCCCCTAGAGGAGCACTGCAGCAAGAGCTGGCTCCCCTTCAGAGGGCAAAGTCAACCCTGCTCTGGCAGGAGTTTGTCCTTGCTGTTGGTGCAGAGCCAAAGCCTTCCTTATGCTCCTGGGAAGTCAGTAACCAGCTGCAGTGCCTCTAATTAGTCCTGAGCTTGCTGGGGACTTCATTTGCCTCCAGCTATAGGATACAGGTCTCTCAAACCTTGTCCCTCGGCTGTCATTTGAGTTATTAACACAGAGGGATCCACTGCAGAAACACAGATGTCCGTATCTAAGGGCATCACCTTCAAATCCCTTTGCAGTCAGCAGGGACAGGCATTCCAGAGGCATATTCTATCATCCCAGCACGGGCATCTAAAACAGGACAGATGAATCATGCTCCAGAAGTATCTGTTTCTCCTCACTGACTGCAAAGGGAGCCTGGTGAGATCACACACAGACGCCTTAAGGCTAAAGACAGGTAAAATTAGGCAAGATTAATCCTGTTCCAAGAGTGGGTGCTAAAGCCTTAAAGACAGTGACAGTCTAACAGGTCACCCCAGGAGACATTACAGCTTGTAGTGTGCTACACGTTGCCTGAGCCTGGTTTTGCCCATGGAGGAGAGGAAGTGATGCCTCATAAATACTATTTACACCAGTTTGCTTACATTACAATGAGTTGGGGCAGGGGGGGGAGGTAGAAGAGAAAGAGACAGATACTTCATGCTGTGGGAGCACCTGCACCGCTGTCAGTTGTAGGACAGGTACTGGATTAACCGTGGAGGGATATTGAGCTTGGCGATCTTCTCCAGCGCCCGCTGCCCGGCTGCTTTCCTCACTGTAACCCTGCAGAGCTGGGACAGGCTCAGGGGTGTTTCTGAAGGGAGAAAAGAGGATGAGGAGTTAGAGGTGCAGCTCAGGAGGTGGCTGCTCTTCCCATGGAGCTCCCAGGGGTTGATGCGTGGAACTGATCCTGCTGGGATCACAGGGTTGGCACTGCCTGCAAGTGCTAAAGGAAGGCACTGCGGAGTCATGGTTGTGATCTCTCCAGGCTCATCCCAATGTAAATCCCACTAGGAATAGTGAATGTAGGTGCACTGCACTTCTCCCAGCTCCCTCCCTCACCTACATCCCCAGAGACCAATGGTGACCACTGGATCATCTGCTCTGATCCACTGGGACCTTCATATTTCCCTTAGTGATGCTGTATTAAGCCTCAGCAACATAGTATATAGGAACAAATCCTACTTAAAACACTTCCCTACAGCTGTTTCTCCATCTAAGGACCACATTAATCCTTTTTGCTCAGCACTCTGCTGACAGCAAAAAAAGGTTTTCCTTTTCCAACCCCCAGACTGCATCCAGGAGTCGATGCTCATTCATGGATGCAGAGGTACAATCAGGCACAGTGCTCTAGTCAAGTCATCGGTCATAGAATCCCAGACTGGTTTGGGGTGGAAGGGACCTTAAAGCTCCTCCATTTCGAACCCCCTGCCACAGGCAGGGACCCCTTCCACTAGAGCAGCTTGCTCCAAGCCCCTGTGTCCAACCTGGCCTTGAACACTGCCAGGGATGGGGCAGCCACAGCTTCTCTGGGCACCCTGTGCCAGCGCCTCAGCACCCTCACAGGGAAGAGCTTCTGCCTTATCTCCAACCTGAACTTCCCCTGTTTCAGTTTGAACCCATCACCCCTTGTCCTATCACTCCAGTCCCTGATGAAGAGCCCCTCTCCAGCATCCCTGTAGCCCCCTTCAGACACTGGAAGCTGCTCTGAGGTCTCCATGCAGCCTTCTCTTCTTCAGGCTCAACAGCCCCAGTGTTCTCAGCCTGTCTCCATATGGGAGGTGCTCCAAGCCCCTGTGTCCAACCTAGCCTTGAACACTGCCAGGGATGGGCACACACTCCTGGGCACCTCCAGGCCTCACACCCTTGGGGTGGGGGTGGGGTGTGGTGTTGGGTGGGTGGTGTGTTGGTTTTGTGGTGTTTGTGTTTGGTTTTTGGGTTTTTGTGTTGTGTTTGTGTGGGGGGGTTGGTGGGTTTGGTTTTTGTTGGGTGTGTTTTGGTTTTTTGGGTGTGGTTTGGGTGAGAATCATAGAATCATAGAATAGTTAGGGTTGGAAAGGCCTAAGATCATCAAGCTCCACCCCCCTGCCATGGGCAGGACACCTGCTCTAAACCATATTACCCAAGGCCTCATCCAACCTGCCTTGAACACTGCCAGGGATGGAGCATTCACAACCTCCCTGGACAACCCATTCCAGTGCCTCACCACCCTAACAGGAAAGAATTTCCTCCTTATATCCAATCTAAACTTCCCCTGTTTCAGTTTTAACCCATTACCCCTTGTCCTATCACTACAGTCCCTAATGAAGAGTCCAATCATGTAAAGGAGCTGGCAGTCGCTGAATTCCAGGGGCAGGGAATCATCTCTTACTTACTTTCATAGTATTCAAAGCACTTTGCTGTGGGACTGCTGCTCCAAGTGTAATCCGACGGCTTCTTCCCTCGGTTGTCCCTTGCATAGATGTTTCCTCCAAACTCAATCAGCATCTCCACCAGGTCTACGTTCTTCACCTTGGCTGCGTGGTGCAGGGCTGTCTCGTGAAGTTTAGCAGCATTCACATTAGCCCCTGAGGATGGAAAGGCAAATAAAGCTGCTCAAGAAAGCCTCGCTTGACCCAGACTTAAGGAGTGGTTCGACTGGAGGAAAGAAAAGCTGCTAAAACACACACAAGCAGCTAGAACAAGAGCCAAACATAACAGCAAACAGGAAACCAACCACTGAACACGTTCTCAGTGCTGGCAACACAGCAGTTTTCTTCTGTGGCTTCGTGTTTTCCTTGCACAGGAAGGATTTGAGTCCATGTTAGTGGGTAAATAAGCTGCTGAGTGTGATGTTCAGAACTGCTTCCTGAATCTGTGCTGTCCAAAGCCATTCCCAGTCACCTCAATGGAGTATTCCCACTCAGGATAAACACCTTTTTCATCTATTTTAACAGAAACACCTCAGCCCTATGGGATGCTGCATCTCACCACCAGACCCTGCTGCACAAATCAGCTTTAGTTACACACATATTTGCTAAGGAAGTTTGGCTTTTATAAGTTTACAGCAAAACATCCTTCTCATTCCCCCACAGCTGCTTGTATTTTATCAGCTGAGTTGTTCAGCAGAGGGGAGATGAACCTCACTGAATCCAAACAACTGACTTTGAGACATGTGTGGCCACAATGAACTCCCATTACAACAACCAAGGAGAAGCAGGTGTGTCTGGGGAATCAACTAATGCATGCCCAAGACAGGGAACTGGAGTGGCTGGAAACAAACTACCTTAGATGTGTGATTTTAGACAACCACTGTAATGAACCAAATCCCCATTCCTGAGCCCAATCTCCTCCTGGTAAACACAAAGACAGGAAGTCCAACTCCAAATCCCCCCCCCAAGTAAGCAGCAAGAAAGCAGGGATGTGAAACCTGGAGCACAGACCTTGAACATCCTAACAAACTCATTTGGGCATTACACTAAGCAGATCCCCCTGAGGTATGAAGTGACTTCATCTCTGGTTTTCTGTGCAACATCAAACCCTAACATCTCTCTCAAACACCTATGCAGAGCCACGTGACTGTGCTACCAAACACGAAAACATGCCCACATGTTGATACCACTTTTGGGGAGATGCTGAATCTTTGCTGAAGAATTCTGAACTTTATTAAAACAGGAGAACAGGAATCATAGAATCATAGAACCATAGAACAGTTAGGGTTGGAAAGGACCTTAAGATCATCAAGTTCCAACCCCCCTGCCATGCAGGGACACCTCGCTCTAAACCATCTCACCCAAGGCCTCGTCCAACCTAGCCTTGAACACTGCCAGGGATGGAGCATTCACAACCTCCCTGGGCAACCCATTCCAGTGCCTCACCACCCTAACAGGAAAGAATTTCCTCCTTATATCCAATCTAAACTTACCCTGTTTCAGTTTTAACCCATTACCCCTTGTCCTATCACTACAGTCCCTAATGAAGAGTCCCTCCCCAGCATCCCTATAGGCCCCCTTCAGATACTGGTATATCCATGGGAACATCACAAACTGGATATTGACAGGCATACACTGAAAAGAAACACGTTAAGCATTAAGCTTTGCTTAGGGAAAGGCAAAACCTTTCACCTTTCTCATTTAGATGATGCTGTGAATGAATAAGCTCTTTGACAAGAACGCCGCTGAGGAGCACTGAAGGAGATGCTGCTCACACCATCACCACCATCTCCTGTCCACCCAGAAGCAAACCCTGTGGCTGCCATACCTGCCTTGAGCAGCAGCTTGGCACAGTCCAGATGCTCCCTAGCACAAGCCACATGGAGAGGAGTCCCGAAATGGCAGTCATGAGCCTCCAAGTTGGCACCGACGTCGATGAGGAGCTGCACACACTCGGAACTACCTTTAGAAAGGGAAAATCCAAGTGAGAAGAAAAGATCCAACTGAAATGGCAGCATGTGGCATGACGAGATCTGCCCGACCCACAGACAGCCTGTTTAACATTTGGGGTGACACCTGCAAAATAGCAATGCTTGTGAGCCAATACAATACACCATAGGACCAAGACTGAGATCAGGACACGAGAAATAGAGTCACATCTGCGTGGTACTGAGCTAGGGCTAACAGGTCTTGTAGGGAGTCACAGTCATGGAATGGTTTGGGTTGGAAGGGACCTTAAAGCTCACCCAGTTCCAACCCCTGCAACGGGCAGGGACACCTTCCACTGGAGCAGCTTGCTCCAAGCCCCTGTGTCCAACCTGGCCTTGAGCACTGCCAGGGATGGGGCAGCCACAGCTTCTCTGGGCACCCTGTGCCAGCGCCTCAGCACCCTCACAGGGAAGAGCTTCTGCCTAAGAGCCAGGTCAAACAAACCTGAATCCAAGGGTTCGCACCACATCCCCTGTTGTTCATGGAGCTGGTTGTATTGATCCTGCCCTGGGTGGATCAGGTCCCTTTCAAGACCACTCCAGCTTGACTTTTTCTGATGCTAATGATACAACTTAACAGAAAGCAGACAGTCACCACCATCATAGAATCATAGAACAGTGAGGGTTGGAAAGGACCTTAAGATCATCCAGTTCCAGCCCCCCTACCATGGGCAGGGACACCTTACACTAAACCATCTCACCCAAGGCCTCGTCCAACCTGGCCTTGAACACTGCCAGGGATGGAGCATTCACAACCTCCCTGGGCAACCCATTCCAGTGCCTCACCACCCTAGCAGGAAAGAATTTCCTCCTTATATCCAATCTAAACTTCCCCTGTTTCAGTTTTAACCCATTACCCCTTGTCCTATCACTACAGTCCCTAATGAAGAGTCCATCCCCAGCATCCCTATAGGCCCGTTCAGATGCTGGAAGGCTGCTATGAGGTCTCCACACAGCTTCTCTTCTCCAGGCTGAACAGCCCCAACTTTCTCAGCCTATCTTCATATGGGAGGTGCTCCAGTCCCCTGATCATCCTCATGACCCTCCTCTGGACTTGTTCCAACAGATCCATGTCCTTTTTATGTTGAGGACACCAGAACTGCACACAATATTCCAAGTGAGGTCTCACAAGAGCCTTACAAAAAGGATTAACAAGGAAAAGCTAAGCAAGAGCTCACAGCTACTTATTTAAGTAACTACCCATTGGCCAAAATGCTGTCTCAGCCTTCATAGTCAAAGGGAAACACTGTCCAGGCCAGCATATAAGCAAAGCAGTGAAGGGGAGGAGAGAGGAGGTGTTGTATCTTACAAAGAGGAAACTAAGGCACAAAATGATGAAGAGATTTGGTCACAATCATCTAATGGGGACGTTGCTGCTCTCACATCCATGTTTTCCTACTGTTGCATGTGTGCAAGTGGAAGTTCAGGGGAGGAGCTACACTTAAATAGCCCTCTACTGCTCCTCTTGCCTCTGCTGCTGTTACAGCCACCCCTGACGCTTCCTCCTGCTCCGTAACCCATGTTCAAACATCCAGAAGCTTAAGTAGAGGACAGGGGAGCAGAGAATGGCTGCACACAGAGGCTGGAACATCATTTTGGCCTCTGCAGTTTTCTCTTGTGCTGGCACCTTCTTCCCACCTGAGAGGCTCCTCCACTAACTCCAAACCAGGAGGGCTCTAGGACAGAACTACCGAATTAACGTGGTCTCATGTCTTAATCAGAGCAATTTACTCCATCCCTACTTGGATCAGAGGGGATGCGGGGTGCAATCTCCTCTCTGCTCACAAGAGGTTGTTTGCTGATGGTTTTCCAACAGAGCACCAAGAAGCTGGTGTTTATCAGCCTAAGATCTTATCCTCTTTGCATAGGGAATTCAACCAGAGATGTGGGAGAGGTGCCCACATAAGGCTGATGCATCTGCAAGCTGTAATGGTCTGATGAGCAACAACAGCTTAAGGTCAATTTAAGATACTTGGCAACTGCTTATCTCCCCACTCCAAGCTGCAAATAACCATGCAAAGATAAGACCATGAGGGCTTACCATTCATGCAGGCTTCGTGGAGAGGAGAGGCTGTGTACAGGGGAGGGTTCACCTTGGCACCATGGGACAGCAGCACTTTGACACACTCTATGCTACCCGAGGCACAGGCGTCGCAGAGGGGAGTACTGCCATCTATGTTCCTGGCATCCACCTTGAAGGCAGACAAAAGATGTTAGGAACCTGCAAGGTGCTCTGTGGTTTTACTTCTTCTAACCCTAGAAATACTCTGGGCTAGGGAAAGACTTGGTTGTCACTGCCAGCAACCTGCTTTGCACACTTCCCATCACTCTCAGGAAGGGCAACATCAACAAGTGTGATGACAACACCAAGCTGAGTGGTGGGGTCAACATGATGGAGGGAAGGGATGGGATCCAGAGGGAGCTAGGCTGGAGGGGTGGGAACGTATGAACCTCATGGAGTTCAATAAGGCCAAGTGCAAGGTTCTATGTGCACGCCCAGAGCGTGAGCAGCAGCTCAGGGAGGGGATCCTGCCCCTCTGCAGCCCTGATCCAGCTCTGGGGCAGCAGCACAAGAGGGACGTGGAGCTGTTGAAGCGAGTGCAGAGGAGGCCATGGAGATGCTGTGAGGGCTGGAGCAGCTCTGCTCTGGAGCCAGGCTGAGAGAGCTGGGCTGGGGCAGCCTGGAGAAGAGAAGGCTCCTGAAGGGGAGCCCTTAGAGCGGCTGCAGGAAAGCTGGAGAGGGGCTTGGGACAAGGGCCTGTAGGGACAGGCCAAGGGGAATGGCTTGAACCTGCCAGAGGGGAGACTGAGATGAGCTCTTAGGCAGAAGCTCTTCCCTGTGAGGGTGCTGAGGCGCTGGCACAGGGTGCCCAGAGAAGCTGTGGCTGTCCCAACAGATGAAGTACCCACTGTATCACCAGACACACACCTGGGCCCCTGCAGCCAGCAGGAGCTTGACACACTGCGTTTGCCCCCGCAGGCTCGCCTCATGCAGAGGGGTGATAGAGTCATAGGTGACGGCATTGACACAGGCTCCCCTCTCTATCAGCTGCTGCAGCTGCAGAATCTCTCCCCTCCTGGCTGCTTCATGAACTGGGGTCCGGTCAGCCCAGAAGCCTACAGAGGAGAGAAGAAATAAGGGAGTAAATAAAATGATACACATGGAGCAAATGGGCTCAGCCTCAGCTTCTCTGGGCATCCTGTGCCAGCGTCTCAGCACCCTCATAGGGAAGAGCTTCCTCCTAATGTCCAATCCAAATTTGCTTGTTAGAGCCTCATTCCCTTAGCAGGATGGTTTTCCTTCCCTGGATGTTGTTGCTTAGATCAGCAGAAGCAAGAAGTCAAAATGAGGATGGAGCTCTCATCACTCAGCCACGGAGCAGCATCACTTTGTCACCAACAGGACTGAGAAGAAGAACAAGCTCCAGGAACACTTCATTAAGGCTTATTATATAACCCCAAAAACGCCAACCTGCAAGCTGCAGGCTCCACTGATTTCTTCTCTCCTCCTGCACAGTTCCTTACATGGAGGCTCACATGAGAGACATCATCACTGTGCTGAGGCGCTGGCACAGGGTGCCCAGAGAAGCTGTGGCTGCCCCATCCCTGGCAGTGCTCAAGGCCAGGTTGGACACAGGGGCTTGGAGCAAGCTGCTCTAGTGGAAGGGGTCCCTGCCTATGGCAGGGGTTGGGACTGGATGAGCTGCAAGGTCCCTTCCCACACTATTCCATGATTCTATGATCAGTCCCCATGGACAGGGCTCCCCCATCCACACCCCTCCAGCTGCACCTGGATTTATGGAGCTTCCATACGGTCCCTTCCAGCACCCCACCATCAGGACACAGACACAGAAGGAACACACACTTCCTAAGGAACAATGGGAATTCCCCATGGCCAGAAGCAGGAGGGATCCCATGAGCACCCTCACCTTCCTCTTGTCCCCTTCCTTAAGAGAGGACACTCACTCTCCAAACCCACCCTGCACACCCCAGAATCATCCTGCCCATCGCTAAAGCATCCTACAGACCCCAAACCCACCCTGCCCAGCCCCAGTATCACCCAGCCCACCCCAGAACTGCTCTGACCACCCCAAAACCACCCTGACCATCATAAAACCACCCTGGGCACCCCAGGCCCATCCTGCCTGCCCCAGAACCATCCTGTCCTCCCCAGAACCATCCTGCCCAGCCCCAGGATCATCCTGCCTATCCCAGAACCACTCCGAGCACCCCCAAAACACCCTGACCATCGTAAAACCACCCTGTGCACCCCAGAACCATTCTGTGCACTCCAGGACCATGCTGCCCACCCCAAAACCACCCTGTGCACCCCAGAGTCACCCTGTCCACCCCAAAGCCATCATACTCACCCCAGAACCATCTTGCTTACTCCCAAAACACCCTGACTACCATAAACCCATCCTGTGCACCCCAGAACCATCCTGTGCACCCCAAACCCATCCTGTGCACCCCAGCACCATCCTGTGCACCCCAGAACCGTCCTGTGCATTCCAGAACCGTCCTGTGCACCCCAGAACCATCCTGTGCACCCCAGAACCATCCTGTGCACCCCAAACCCATCCTGTGCACCCCAGCACCATCCTGTGCACCCCAGAACCGTCCTGTGCACCCCAGAACCGTCCTGTGCACCCCAGAACCATCCTGTGCATCCCAGAACCGTCCTGTGCACCCCAGAACCGTCCTGTGCACCCCAGAACCGTCCTGTGCACCCCAGAACCATCCTGTGCACCCCAGAACCGTCCTGTGCACCCCAGAACCGTCCTGTGCACCCCAGAACCGTCCTGTGCAACCCAGAACCATCATGCCTGCCCCAGCCCCCGCCACTGCCCCCATCCCAGTCCCTCCACACGCAGACCCAGTCCCAGTCCCAGTCGCAGACCCAGTCCCAGTCGCAGACCCAGTCCCAGTCCCAGTCGCAGACCCAGACCCAGACCCAGTCCCAGTCCCGGACCCAGCCCCAGCCCCAGATCCAGTCCCAGTCGCAGACCCAGTCCCAGTCCCAGTCGCAGACCCGGACCCAGTCCCAGTCCCGGACCCGGACCCAGCCCCAGCCCCATTCCCAGCCCCAGCCCCAGCCCCAGTCCCAGCCCCAGCCCCAGCCCCAGCCCCAGCCCCAGTCCCAGCCCCAGCCCCAGCCCCAGCCCCAGCCCCAGCCCCAGCCCCAGTCCCAGTCCCAGTCCCAGCCCCAGCCCCAGCCCCAGCCCCAGCCCCAGCCCCAGCCCCAGCCCCAGCCCCATTCCCATTCCCATTCCCAGCCCCATTCCCATTCCCAGCCCCATTCCCATTCCCATCCCCTCACTCACTGATCTCGCCCCGCAGGGACTCGCTGCTCTCGGGGCTCTCCATGCTCCGGGCCCGCCGCGGGCCCCGGCTCCGACCTCCTCCGCTCCGCCCCCGGCCGCAGGGCTCCCGGCCCCGCCGCAGTGCCTGCTGGGAGTTGTAGTCCCGGGGGGTGCGGGTGAACGGGGCACTGGGGGTACTGGTGTGTGGAGGGAACGGGTACCGGCGGTACTGGTGTGTGTGGGCAGGGGGTACTGGGAGAACTGGTGCAGAGCTCTGGGGGTGCTGGTGTGTGTGCGGAATGGGCACTGGTGTCTGTAGGCAGGGGGTACCGGGTGCACTGGTGCAGGGAACTGGGGATGCTGGTGTGTGTGGTGAATGGGTACTGGGGGCACTGGTGAAAGGGCACTGGGGGTGCTGGTGTGTGTGCGGAATGGGCACTGGTGTCTGTAGGCAGGGGGTGCCAGGTGCACTGGTGCAGGGAACTGGGGATGCTGGTGTGTGTGGTGAATGGGTACTGGGGGCACTGGTGAAAGGGCACTGGGGGTGCTGGTGTGTGGAGGGAACGGGTACCGGCAGTACTGGTGTGTGTGGGCAGGGGGTACTGGGAGCACTGGTGCAGAGCCCTGGGGGTGCTGGTGTGTGTGGGGAATGGGCACTGGTGTCTGTAGGCAGGGGTACCGGGTGCACTGGTGCAGGGAACTGGGGGTGCTGGTGTGTGTGGGCAGTGGGTACTGGGTGCACTGGTGCGGGGCACTGGGGGTACTGGTGTGTGTGGGTAGGGGGTACTGGGAGCACTGGTGCAGGGCCCTGGAGGTGCTGGTGTGTGTGGGCAGTGGGTACTGGGTGCACTGGTGCGGGGCACTGGGGGTGCTGGTGTCTGTGGGCAGTGGGTACTGGGGGCACTGGTGCAAGGTCACTGGGGGTACTGGTGTGTGTGGGCAGTGGGTACTGAGAGCACTGGTGCAGGGCACTGGGAGTGCTGGTGTATGTGGGCAGTGGGTACTGGGGGCACTGATGCAAGGGCACTGGGGGTACTGGTGTGTGTGGGCAGTGGGTACTGGGGCACTGGTGTCTGTAGGTAGGGGGTACTGGGAGCACTGGTGCAAGGGCACTGGGGGCACTGGGTGTGTGGAGGGAGTGGGTTCTGGGAACACTGGTGTAGGAGCACTGGGATAACGGCAGCACTGCTGGAGGGGTACTGGTGGTGCTGGGGATACGGGGGTACTGGTGTATGTGGGGATGGGTGATGGAAGCACTGTACTGGAGTACTGGGGGAACTAATGTATGTAGGGAGGGGGTACTGGGGACACTGGTGGGGGTATACTGATGGTGCTGGGGGTACTGATTTATGTGGGGAAGGGGTAGTGGGACACCGGGGGGGGTACTGGTGTGTGTGGGCAGGTGGTACTGGGAGCACTGGTTCAGGGGCACTGATGTCACTGGGGACACTGGTGTGTGTGGGGAGCGGGAAGAGCCAAGTAAAACACAGACATCATCTTCGACCTTCCCCTCCTCCATCTCTGTGTTACTGGTCTTTGCATTAGAGATGCAGGAGAAGGAACCCATTGCATCCAGGAATACAAAGCATTTACTACCCCAATTCCCCATGGATTCTCTAGGAAGCTGTTATTTATGGCTGTTTCTAATGGGCCTTGGTGCCTGCATGCTTGTTTTGCCTTAGCAGAGCAAAGCACCTCACCCAAAGCAAAACCAGACCTGTGGGGCAAAGGAGTTAAATGGAGGTACTGGTTGGACAAACACAACTTGACTCTGCTCTTCCTGACCTCTGAGAGAGCAAGGAGACAGAAGATACAGGTTAAAACCAGAGACAAAGCAATCCCCTTCACCCCAATCTCTGCAAGGAGAGATGCTCCAGGTTAAAAAGCCAATAAAATTGCATTATTTAAGCAAAACTGAAGTTAAATCCTATTTCTTCTCGCTCTTCTTCAGTGATTGCACTTCTCATCGAAATCCCCCCTGTGCTTGTTCCCTCCTTTGAAGGGAAAATCAGTGCTTTCCAGCAGTGGACATTTTCCTTCTGAAAAGAATAAGCTCGAAGAAAACCAATTTTCCATTGCAGGTGGATGAGATTAAATCATTCCAGTGGGAAACTTCTGGTCAGCACAGAGCTGCTGCCACTTCCAGGTAGTAAGAAAATCAGGTGTGTCTTGCACTCACTTGGTAAGAAATGAATTGCTGCATGCTGTCAACTGAGCCCACGATGGGACCCCTCCAAATATGAGATGTTATTATAATATGAGATATTATTGCTTGTGAGACCCCATTTGCAGCACTGGGTGCAGTTCTGGAGTCCTCAGCATCAGAAGGACATGGAGCTGTTGGAGCAAGTCCAGAGGAGGCCATGAGGATGATGGGGGCTGGAGCATCTCCCATATGGAGACAGGCTGAGAACATTGGGGCTGTTGAGCCTGGAGAAGAGAAGCTGCGTGGAGACCTCAGAGCAGCTTCCAGTGTCTGAAGGGGGCTACAAGGATGCTGGAGAGGGGCTCTTCATCAGGGACTGGAGTGATAGGACAAGGGGTGATGGGTTCAAACTGAAACAGGGGAAGTTCAGGTTGGAGATAAGGCAGAAGCTCTTCCCTGTGAGGGTGCTGAGGCACTGGCACAGGGTACCCAGAGAAGCTGTGGCTGCCCCATCCCTGGCAGTGTTCAAGGCCAGGTTGGACACAGGGGCTTGGAGCAAGCTGCTCTAGTGGAAGGGGTCCCTGCCCATGGCAGGGGCTGGAACTGCAGGAGCTTTAAGGTCCCTTCCAACCCAAACCATTCCATGATTCTATGATTATATTTTATGTCCATATCACAGTATCACAGTATGTTAGAGATTGGAAGGGACCTCAAAAGATCATCTAGTCCAATCCCCCTGCCGGAGCAGGAACACCTAGATAAGGTTACACAGGAACGTGTCCAGGTGGGTTTTGAATGTCTCCAGAGAAGGAGACTCCACAACCTCCCTGGGCAGCCTGTTCCAGTGTTCCGTCACCCTCACTGAGAAGTTTCTTCTCAAGTTTAAGTGGAACCTCTTGTGTTCCAGTTTGTACCCATTGCCCCTTGTCCTATCATTGTTTGCCACTGAGAAGAGCCTGGCTCCATCCTTGTGACACTCCCCCTTTATATATTTATATACACTAATAAGGTCACCCCTCAATCTCCTCTTCTCCAAACTATAGAGACCCAGCTCCCTCAGTCTTTCCTCATAAGGGAGATGCTCCACTCCCTTCATCATCTTAGTTGCCCTGCGCTGGACTCTCTCCAGCAGGTCCCTGTCCTTGAACTGAGGGGCCCAGAACTGGACACAATATTCCAGCTGATATGCTGTAGCCATTCATAGCAGTCTCAAAGGTTGGATGAGGTAGATGTGTAATTGGTTTTACATTTTCAGGGTTTCCATTCCCAGCTTAAAGACACAAAGACCTGTGTGCCAGCACCATTAACAGAAACACGGACAACAGGGCTGGGAATGTTCTTGGAAAACCATAAACCCTCTCACCTCTTGCCCCAGGATGGGTCCAGGGATGGATTTCAAACCGTAATTCATCTGCCTAGTGCAGAATGGCTGGTAGTGCCAGGTAGAGATGGAAATACTCTGTGGACATGAATATGTCAGCTGCAGTTCAGACAGTGTTGGGGTTAATCAGCTGTAGATAATGAAAGTAGGATACAGGCCATAATATAAAGAGACAAATGCAGACTCTGCTTCAGTTTGACAAGATCAGGAGGAAGTGTTCCTATTTCAAAGCATACCCCTGTACACACAACACCTCAAAGCAAAAGGGTAAGAACAATTTGATCATTCAGAAATTCCTTATCCAGCTTCCAGCAAAGCACTCACTGCCTAAGCTTTCTCCTCTGTACAATATGGATATTAATGATTTAATATCCATGAACTCCACCTTATGGAGAAGTTTAAGCATCACTGAATGGGCTGATGTAGCTCATAGCAGGAGCAACTTTCTTCTCTGAGACCATCCAGCACCCCTTCAGCTTCATCTGGCTCTTGTGCAGGGAGAATGCAGGATCACATGGAAGGAAATAGAGGTTGGAAATAGCACATAGTGGGAAAGAAGTGGGCTTGGAGGAGGATCATGGATACCAAATTATTATCTAGGAGAAAATACTCCACTGTAAATATCACTTAGCTGAACAGGGTAACTTGCCTGCACATGCAGATAGGCTGAAATAAGAGTGGTAGGACCAACTCCAGCTTGACACAAACCAATACCAGCTCTGAAGATAACAATGATTCCAAATGCTCTCTCTGCTTAATTACTATGGGAGTGATTACTGCAAGAGAAGAAAAAGATACTCTGTCCAGGAGATCTGCGCAGTCTTGAACATAGTCTCATTTTGCCATGATCAAATGGTAACTGTTTGGTTATAGAAAGAGTTTGGATCTCCTGGCTCCAGTCCTCTGCCTGGTAAGGGGTAATAAGTAATGTTTAGACTCTCTCTTCAGAGATTGACAGGTTGACATTGCAAAAAATACAGGATAAGCAACAGAAATAATAATTTTTAATAAATACCTCAATAATTGTATTTTTAAAATGGGGGGGAAAAACTTGGAAAAACAAAATCACTTGCTCACCACTGAAAATGTTCATCTGCACTTTGTCACTTTCTTGTCATCTTTGACTCATTTCCTGATGGACCCTGTAGCTGCCTATGCAGTGTGCGGTTTTAAACCCTTGTGAAACCACCGTAAGACAAGCTGGGGTTTGTCAGGGGCTTTTGTAGAGGTTGGTTGGTTGTTTTAACAGCTCTGGTTTCGATTCCACAATGTGGCTGGAGCTATTTGAGTGTTTGTCATCACAACAGCAACAGTAAGGTGGTTTCTTAGGAAGCTGCAAGATGCCAAAATAGCCCCAGAAAAACCAAACATATGAATAAATCAAAGTAGAAACTGAAGATCTCAACTGTGCTTTACTATGGGAGGGGTACACTGCATGAGGAATGGCTGAGGGACCTGGGGGGTTCAGTGTGGAGAAGAGAAGGCTCAGGGGGGACCTGATGGCTGCCTCCAACTGCCTGACAGGAGGATGGAGCCAGGAGGGGCTGGGCTCTGCTCCCAAGGAACAAGGGATGGGACAAGAGGAAA